TCGGTATGTTTATTTTATTCATACGATCAAGATAACGATTGAAGAGCAATTACTATGGAATGATCAAATCTTATAACTAAAATAAAGGCCAACAGTTCAAGTTGAAAGATTTCCAACGTACCCTTGAGACTGCCAGGATGAAATAAACAGATGAGTGCCCTGACTACAGAGCTGTTTTTGGATTGCTGGCCAGAATCTCGAGATTATTCCTCGACAAAAGCTATGGTACAGGCAGGGGAACAGATCATTTTTAAAGTAATATCCAACTCGTAAGACAACTCAATACAATTGAACTGCCTGAAAAAATGTTTAAATGGACCGGTAAAGTACAACATTTGATGACAGTCAATTATTTCAATATTAAATTTCATTTGAGACCCCTGATTTCAAGAAAATAGCATGTATCACTATTATGAATCCATGTTGAGACACAGTTGCGTTATAGTTATGTATAAGTTTCGCCCACCATCGTAGGAGATAAGATTCAGGGTCAGCAAGATGTTTCCAACCAAAGTATCAGTGTACTTGTCCAGCTCAATGTACAAGGGAGAGAGTAGGGCTGTACCATCACAGTATAAAACACCTCGATATAGTTACTGGTCTCATCCCTTTACACGCTTCGTAGTAGAGTGAGATTAGATACCATCTTGGTTTAAGAGCCTGTAATGAGGCTTGATGTAAGGTTCCAGTTTTTGATACGTTCCTTACTTTAGAACCACAAAGATAATATTGTGTATGGACTCAGGGTGTAGGAACCGGTGGGGCAAGAGGGGGGGCCATCGCGCCCCCCCCCCCCCCCCCCCCCATGAAATCTGGGCAAGGGGCAAAAAGGCCAACTTTTAATTTAGGTTCTAAAATTTTAGGGAAAAAAATTTTTCCACCGAAAATTTATTTAGGTCCCAAAAATTTCTAGGTCCTAAAATTTTTCAAAGTTTTTCTGGAAACCTACTTTTGTTCATGTTTCAATGCTACCCTGACCATTATGAAGCCAAAAATATTTTTTTGGGTTTTCGGAAGTTCGATGTATGGTTTTTGGACTCGAGGGTTCCGCCTTTGTAATGCAATCTCGGAAGGGCAGGCCCTCGCTTCCGCAATACGAGCTTCGGAAGGCGGGAGCTCTGCTTCAGAGGTACGTATCGAGAATGACAAGACCGGAAAATTTCTAGAAGTCCAAAATTTTTCAAAGGTTTTCTGAAACTACTTTTTGTTCATGTTTCTATGCTACCGCTGACCATTATGAGCCAAAAATATTTTTTTTGGTTTTTCGGAAGGTTCGGATGTATTTTTTTTGGACTCGAGGGTTCCCCTTTGTAATGCGATCTCGAAGGCAGGCCTCCCTTCGCAAATAACGAGCTCGGAAGCGGAGCTCTGCTTCAAGGTTCTGTATCGAGAATGCCAAGGACCAAAACTTTTCCAAGGTCAAATTTTTTCAAAAGTGTTTCCTGGAAATTACTTTATTCATGTTTCATGCTACCTTGATCATTCTGAGCCGAAAATATATTTTTGCTGGTTTTCGGTTTTTTTGAAGTCCGTTCCTACATTCGGATGGTGTGGTTGCGATACTGATTGTTTTTTCAATATACTCATTATAGAAAACGAGAATTTGGTCCCGTAGGATTTAAAGAAAATGCGCAATTTGACGCGGAGAACTGAAAAAAAATCGGCGATTTGACGTGAGGCCAGAATCTGCAAAATCGCGATTGTTCGCGGCAAAACGTGAAAAATCGCGATACCCGCACCATGCTGCAATTGTTCCATTCCCTTACCCCTCGAAATACAGGATTGGGCGCGAAGCGCCAAAAAATTTAGGGTGTGGCGCGATGCGCCAAAAAAATTTTTGAATTTGGCCCCCCCCATGAGAAACTCATTCCTACACCCCTGGTATACTAAAATCTAAAGATCTAAACATAGTTACAGATTAGATTTGATAAAGTGGCCACCAGAGTAGTGCTAAACAAGCACAAACACTGTCAACCTCAGCACAACAGTTTTACATAAAAGGCTAACACAGTGCTGAAATCCTGATTAACCAAATTGTGTTACTAGTGTGTCAGCTCTGTTTCATGCAAGTAAGCTAAACAAACCCCCGAACACGGGATTGTATTTTCCCAGCTAAGAAAAATTTCAAGCATTAATATCAAGAATGGGTGTCCTCTTGAAATATAACTCACCTGATATGAGATGATCCAGGGAGGAAGGTTTGATTTAGCTAGAATGTCTTGAGGTAAGCGTGAAACAATATCAACAGTCTTGGTGTCACACTGCTGACACACGACTGGCAGACCTAGGTACAGACGAAAAACTGGATAAAACTCATCACAACAATCATTTAGCCACCAAGTTACATGTTTTTAACATACTTTCATATTATCCTATCAGAAATAAAATAATAGGCAGTTAGAGGGGTTAGACAGATGAAATTGGAAGATAATATATATATATTAGCCAGTCGCATTGGTTATTTGTTTGTTGATTTTGTCGAAACTATTACCTTACAAGACATTTTTGTGGCGACCAATTGCGACGAACCGAATTTTGGGGGCGCGGGGGGGGGGGGGGGGGGGGGGCCGCGCGCGTCCGAAAATATGGCGAAAATTGAACAAAAACCTTCACATTTTCGGACGTCAACAGAAAATAAGGTATTTTTCATCATTTTTGTTTTCGTGACAACAAAGAAATTCAAAATTTCTAAAAATCGTAAAATCATGTTGAAACAAAATGAAACTTATGAAATCGATTGCTTCATCTCCTTTCTCTAAGGGGGTCCGGCTCGAATCTTTTCAGTTTCACTTATTGAGTTTGGTATTATTGTTTATCTTGACTTAGTCTCTTATAAGACGTTAATGTATAGCACATAAATGAATTTTATGTAAAATTTAAAACGTATTAACAGGACATTATATTCGACATGGAATATTGTGTTTATTTGTCCCACATCATATCAACTAACTTTTCAAGAACAAAATGAAGCGCTGAGCCACAATTATTGGAATAAGCGTAAAAATAAGCGACGGATTCTATTACGACGACCCGAAATTTTGGCGGTCCGAAAATATTGGCGAAATTTCGGGAAAACCGTCCACAATTCGTACATTTTAAAAAAGTCTTGATAAGGGTATGAACTACACATAAAATCAATTTAAATTGGTCTGATTTTAAGAAAACCGTATATGAGAGGTTTGGACATGGTCAATAAATTTCGGTTCTCATTGCACCCGATTAGAAAAAGTCTATAGTCGGATAAGTTCCTTAAAATTAAACCTAAATTAGTGCATGTCACTACATTACTACACTACACACTACACTACAATTACTACACTACATTACTACACTACATTAGTTACTACACTACATTACTGTACAATACATTACAACACTACATATATTACACTACATTACTGTACTACATACTACGTACTACATTAATACACTACATTACTAACCCTACATTTCTACAACAACATACTGTACACTACTTTTAGACACTTAACATTACTACACTACATTACTACACAGACATTACTAACACTACATTCACTATACCTACATTACTGTACACTACATTACTAACACTACATTACTAACACTACATACTACACTACATTACTACACTACATTACTACAACACTCATTACTACACTACATTACAAAACTGACATTACCGTACATACATTACTAACTACATTACTACACTACATTACTACTCTACATACAACTACACTACATTACTACACTACATTACTACACTCACAATATAAACATTACAAAACTACTTACTGTACACTACATTACCTAACTCTAACATTACTCACACTACATACGTACACTACATTACAAAAGCTACATTACTGTAACACTAAATACATTACTACACGTACAATACTAACACTACATCAGGCACATATTAGGTGCGATGGGTTGCGGTATCGCAACAATTAACCGTTTTCGCACATTTCCGCATAATTTAATGTTTTCCGCACACTTCCGCACATTTTGTAAATTGTCTAGCATATTTCCGCATAATTAGCATTTTCCGCCGTAATTTCGCGTAATTTGAAATTATTCGCGTTAAGAATTTTCGAGTGTAAAAACCAAAATATGTTAAAAAGTCGGGCGCCCTTTTTGACCGTGACGCAGGCCCTTTTAGGACCGGACTCCGGCCCTTTTTTCGGGGTCGTGAACCAGGCCCTTTTGGAACACATACCTAGGCCCCGTGAACCAGTATACCACGTGACCCAGCCCTTTCGGGACCCTGACCCAGGCCCTTTCGGGACCTGAACCCAGGCCTTTTGGGAACTCATACCTAGGCCACGTGACCCCAGTTACCACGTGACCCAGGCCCTTTCCGGGACCGTGTCCCAATGCCCTTTTTGGAACTCATGCCTGGGCCCACGTGAACCCGGTTACCACGTGACCCAGCCCTTTCTGACTATAAAACCCCAGGCCCTTTCCGGGACCGTTACCCAGGCCCTTTCGGACCGTTACCCCAGCCCTTTCGGGAGACCGTGACCCAGGCCGTTTTTATGGAACCCTCGTCGTTACCGTACTCGATCATACATGCAGCCTTTTATCGGTAATGGACCCGCTCTATTCGTTGTAGCGTTGGCTTTATAGTGCTTAATGGATCTTTGGATCAAATGGTTTACAAGTACTGACGATCAATGCCGACAAGCGTGGTCACATATTTTGCGATCACGCATGGGATCATCGACTCTATCAAGAGCGTCTTCATATAACTGTCTCCCTGATCTCTACAAGAAGATCAAGTCACTGTTCTCAGATAACTGAATCTCATATGAGGTTCATCAATCTACACCCGCAGTACCACATAAACAGACCTATTTTTTGATAAGAGCGGCGGTTATACGTTTAGAATTCCAAAGCCTTCAGAAAATACAAAAGAAAACCGGCCACAAATTCCCGCAACAAATTTCAAAAAATCGTCCCAGCCATTGCCGCATAATTGGTAAAAATTACCGCACATTACCGGCACATTTAACAATCAGTGGAGCACCTTAATAATACACTGTTCGTTACCTGTTTATTAAAGGTAAATTTTCAATCAATATGTGAAATCATATGATTTTAGCTGTTATCTGGTTTCAAGGGTTCATGAACCATCCATTAATTTAACCAAACAAACATTTCCAGATAACTCCGCTTACCATTCGACATGTCTCTGTACGAACTAGGCCTTCTCCGGACAAGGCCTTTACGGACAGTCTTCTCCCAAGTCCGAACAGTATAATTTATCGAATTCAATGAAAATTCACGCACTCACCTGGGGTTTCACAACAACAACCTATCTTTTTCGATATTTTGGATCAAATTTGTTCGCGACATTCTTACAATTTTGAGAATAAACCTCCCGCGACACTTACACAACATTCTTACAATTTCGCTTACAATTTTGCTGGAACACCTCCTCTAACATTAATGTTTACAAAATATGCCAAAAGAACATGATCAATTTACTTACTGTTAATTGGGCTATCAGATTTTCTTCAAACTTCACAATCAGTTACAACTCAATAGAGAGAGAGAGAGAGAGAGAGACTAATTGAGAGAATATGAAGAAAATATGAAAAATTTTAAAACTTTAAAATCTATTCTCAAACCTGTCTTTAGCTTTAAGGTGGCGAGATAATCAGATTGGTCCATAACTGATTCGGGGATTATCCACTTGGTTCTCTTAGGTTGAGGAATGATGTTGCTACATTTAGTGAACTCTGATACGTCTCCTTTGCATACATACGAGCTCTCACCTTAGGGGATCATGTTTTTTGTCCATTTTTGTCCATATGATTTTGTCCATCCTCAGAAAATAGGGTACCGCATGGACAAAAATGGACAATAATGGACAAAAATTGTAACTTTTGGTTTGGATTATCTCCACAATTTGTAACAAACTGCCTTAGGTATAATACAAACCATAATATTAAATCAGTGCCAATATTCATAAGCGATAACAAATTATTAATTAATATGACGAATATTAAACAGCGGCTACAAGAGCACCAAAACAATTTATATTTCTAATCTCAACATACCAAGTGAGAAATAAGTTCCGTCGCATACAGAGCAGGGTTCATCAAACCGGCCAAATGCTATACCATCACTACATCTATCTATTAGCTGTGGGGATTTTAATTAATAGTCACAGTCTTATAATGCTATACCATCACTACATCTATCTATTAGCTGTAGGGATTTTAATTAATAGTCACAGTCTTATAACAGCAACAAAGATAAGTTGACTGGAAAAGTACGGGGCATCAAATCATGATTTACATTAACATTCATAATAGTTAACTTGAATATATTATGTGCTGCTATGTACAGTAAAACCCCGATTTACCGCGGTGTTTGGGAGAAAGAGAAGAGCCGCGGTAAATCGGGGTTTGCAGCAAATTGGGGTTTGCGGTAAATCGGGGTTTGCGCTAAATCGGGGCTTGCGGTAAATCGGGGTTTGCAGCAAATTGGGGTTTGCGGTAAATCGGGGTTTGCGGTAAATCGGGGTTTGCGGTAAATCGGGGTTTGCGGTAAATTGGGGTTTGCAGCAAATCGGGGTTTTAATGTATGTACCCTGATATCAGCTCCGTGGGTTGGGTATCCGTTATATTCCAACATCTCTCTCAAATACTTGTTGTTTACTTCTTTTAGTGCTTGTCTGATTTCCATGAGATAGCCACTCTGGGCCTGATACAAAGTTAGGTTGTTATATTACAAAACAGGTTTAGTTTGCACTTACATAATTTATTCTGTTTAAAGTATTAGCACGTGACAGTCAAGGATAGCAAGGCAGGGTGGGCTAATCGAATAGCAATCTTCTTTTGATTCTATGAATTAGCATTTATATTTTATAGTAAAAATGCTTTCTGTTGGGTTGATAAACAAGAAGAGTTGTAGAGAAACTGTTTAGATCGGCTCACCTGCAGTTTCTTTTCTAAAGCAGATTGAGGAGGAGGCATATTTTCATTATTGTCACTTTTCCTACTCCTCTTCTTTTTCTTCCCTCCTTTACCTGAATTAATGTACTGTACATATTGAAATAAGTAAGATCATGCCAATAGGGAGATGTGGTTTATCTTGGCACTCGGTGATTTATTTTTATCAAATAGATATAATACTTGAGTTAGCGTTAGCCCAAACATAATTGTTTTGGAAAAACAAGTCAAGTCGAGTAGATTAGTAAAATAATAATTACCTAGGAGGAGAACTAATTGTGCTTGGTCTTCCTTCTTTAATAGTTCATACCCCTGCAATCATACGTTCACTTTTAATAGTTTTGCAAAGAAATCTTTGTCCTAGCAACAATTTTTAATCGTATGTACATTAAAATCCTGATCTACCTCACAATTTGGGAAAAGGAAAATTGTACAGTAAACCGGGGTTTTAATTTTTAGTTGAAATTGGATAACACAGAACTTATATTTGAAACGATAATGGGGGGTTCCAAGTTCCAACCTCATTCTGCCTCATCCCAATTTTGCCTTTTTGGGTGCCCCAAATAAGGCAAAATGAGGTTGGAACCCCCCCTCCCTGTTGAAAAGCACTAAATTAAGGGCATAAGGAATATGGAGCCTAGCTTTCTTCACGTGATATCAACTCAGCTTACTCGACAAAAGTAGAAGATATTTACAAACACTTGGGGAAAGGGAAGCAATGAATTGGGGCTTTACTGTGGCAATAAGACCAAGTAACTGATAGCGAGCTTTCGTTTATTTAAATCAGCAAACTGTAATAAACTTAGGAGACTAATTAAATCCAGTGAATTAGCGAATAATGTAAGTATTAATAGAGAACAGATGAGTTATTATTAAAAATAATCTTTAGTTATTTTATTTAACTTACATCAATGATGTCAGCAGTAATGTTGTGATCAATGTCAAGTTGTTTCTTCCTCTCAGAGAAGCAGGTAGGATGGTGCCACACTTGCTTCCTCCCACCTACTGCCCACTTTAACTCCTTGCCTTCAGCTGCTACCCAACAACCTGAACATATAATATCTTGTGAGATCTCTGCAACTAGAACAGGATAAAGACAACGCTTTACTTATTCTAACAGTATCTTTACCTATTCTAACAGTATCTTTACCTATTCTAACAGTATCTTTACCTATTCTAACAGTATCTTTACCTATTCTAACAGTATCTTTACCTATTCTAACAGTATCTTTACCTATTCCAACAGTATCTTTACCTATTCTAACAGTATCTTTACCTATTCTAACAGTATCTTTACCTATTCTAACAGTATCTTTACCTATTCTAACAGATCTTTACCTATTCTAACAGTATCTTTAACTATTCTAACAGTATCTTTACCTATTCTAACAGTATCTTTACCTATTCTAACAGTATCTTTACCTATTATAACAGTATCTTTACCTATTCCAACAGTATCTTTACCTATTCTAACAGTATCTTTACCTATTCTAACAGTATCTTTACCTATTCCAACAGTATCTTTACCTATTCTAACAGTATCTTTACCTATTCTAACAGTATCTTTACCTATTCTAACAGTATCTTTACCTATTCTAACAGTATCTCTACCTATTCTAACAGTATCTTTACCTATTCTAACAGTATCTTTACCTATTCTAACAGTATCTTTACCTATTCTAACAGTATCTTTACCTATTCTAACAGTATCTTTACCTATTCTAACAGTATCTTAACCTATTCTAACAGTATCTTTACCTATTCTAACAGTATCTTTACCTATTCTAACAGTATCTTTACCTATTCTAACAGTTTCTTTACCTATTCTAACAGTATCTTTACCTATTCTAACAGTATCTTTACCTATTCTAACAGTATTTTTACCTATTCTAACAGTATCTTTACCTATTCTAACAGTATCTTTACCTATTCTAACAGTATCTTTACCTATTCTAACAGTATCTTTACCTATTCTAACAGTATCTTAACCTATTCTAACAGTATCTTAACCTAATCCAACAGTATCTTTACCTATTCTAACAGTATCGGGGGGGGGTGTCATGTCCGTCTATGTCCGCCTATGTCCTGTCCTTTTTGGATTCTATGAGACAACGGACGTGTTTTTTGGGACATTGGCGGACACGGACGGACATTGGCGGACTCGGACGGACATTGGCGGACTCGGACGGACATTGGCGGACCCGGACGGACATTGGCGGACTTGGATGGACATTGGTGGACATTAGCGGACATTGGTGGACATTAGCGGACAAACATTTTGAGGACTGAAGAGTACTCAAGAGTACTGAGGAGGATGGCTGAGAAGGATGGCTGAGGAGGATGGCTGAGGAGGATGACTGAGGAGGATGACTGAGAGGGAGGAGAAGGATCAGGAAGACCCAGGAGGAGGAGGAGGAGGAGGACCCAGAAGGAGGACCTAGGAGGAGGAGGAGGAGAACTGAGGAGGATGACTCAGGAGGAGGAGGACTCAGGAGGAGGACTGAGAAGGAGGAGGACTGAGGAGGATGGCTGAGGAGGATGGCTGAGGAGGATGACTGAGAGGGAGGAGGAAGAGGAGGAAGAGGACTGAGGAGGAGGAGGAGAAGGACTGAGGAGGAGAAGGAGGACCCAGGAGGAGGAGGACCCAGGAGGAGGAGGACCCAGGAGGAGGACCCAGGAAAAGGCCCCAGGAGGAGGAGGAGGACTGGGGAGGAGGAGAACTGTTGAGGACTGATGAGGAGGACTGAGGACGAGGAGGAAGAGTAGGAGGAGGACTGAGGAGGGGAGGAGGAAGAAGACTGGGGAGGATCAGGAAGACCCAGGAGGACCCAGGAGGAGGAGGAGGAGGAGGACCCAGGAGGAGGAGGAGGACTGAGGAGGACTGAGGAGGAGGACTGACGATGACTGAGAAGGAGGAGGACTGAGGAGTACTGAGGAGGATGGCTGAGGAGGATGGCTGGGGAGGATGGCTGAGGAGGATGACTGAGGAGGATGACTGAGAGGGAGGAGGAGGAGGACTCAGGAGGAGGACTCAGAAGGAAGAGGAGGAGGACTCAGGAGGAGGACTCAGGAGGAGGACTTAGGAGAAATGAGAAGGAGGACTGAGGAGAACTAAGGAGGAGGAGGAGGAGGACTGAATAGGAGGAGGAGAAGGAGGGGGACTGGGAGAGGACTGGGGAGCAGGAGGACTGATGAGAAGGATGAGGAGGAGGACCCAGGAGGAGGAGGACTGAGGACCGAGGAGGAAGAGGAGGAGGATGAAGAGGAGGAGGACCCAGGAGGAGGAGGACTGAGGAGGAGGACTGAGGAGGACTGAGGAGGATGGCTGAGGAGGATGACTGAGAGGGAAGAGGAGGAGGAGGAGGAGGAGGACTGAGGAGGACTGAGAAGGAGGAGGAGGAGGACTGAATAGGAGGAGGAGGAGGAGGGGGACTGGGAGAGGACTGGGGAGGAGGAGGACTGATGAGAAGGATGAGGAGGAGGACCCAGGAGGAGGAGGACTGAGGACCGAGGATGAAGAGGAGGAGGACCCAGGAGGAGGAGGACTGAGGAGGAGGACTGAGGAGGACTGAGGAGGATGGCTGAGGAGGATGACTGAGAGGGAAGAGGAGGAGGAGGAGGAGGAGGACTGAGGAGGACTGAGAAGGAGGAGGAGGAGGACTGAATAGGAGGAGGAGGAGGGGGACTGGGGGAGGACTGAGGAGGAGGATGGAGGACTGAGGAGAAGGATGAGGAGGAGGACTGAGGAGGAAGAGGAGGAGGATGAAGAGGAGGAGGAGGACCCAGGAGGAGGACTCAGGAGGAGGAGGAGGAGGACTGGGGAGGAGGAGGACTGTTGAGGACTGATGAGGAGGACTGAGGACGAGGAGGAGGAGTAGAAGGAGGACTGAGGAGGGGAGGAGGAAGATCAGGAAGACCCAGGGGGAGGAGGAGGAAGAGTAGGAGGAGGAAGCATCTAAATGTTATTTCCATTTTTGTCCGTTTTTGTCCATTTTTGTCCGTTTTTGTCCGGAGGAGGAGGAGAAGGACTGAGAAGGAGAAGGAGGACCCAGGAGGAGGAAGACCCAGGAGGAGGAGGACCCAGGAGGAGGACCCAGGAAAAGGCCCCAGGAGGAGGAGGAGGACTGGGGAGGAGGAGAACTGTTGAGGACTGATGAGGAGGACTGAGGACGAGGAGGAAGAGTAGGAGGAGGACTGAGGAGGGGAGGAGGAAGAAGACTGGGGAGGATCAGGAAGACCCAGGAGGACCCAGGAGGAGGAGGAGGAGGAGGACCCAGGAGGAGGAGGAGGACTGAGGAGGACTGACGGTGACTGAGAAGGAGGAGGACTGAGGAGTACTGAGGAGGATGGCTGAGGAGGATGGCTGGGGAGGATGGCTGAGGAGGATGACTGAGGAGGATGACTGAGAGGGAGGAGGAGGAGGACTCAGGAGGAGGACTCAGAAGGAAGAGGAGGAGGACTCAGGAGGAGGACTCAGGAGGAGGACTTAGGAGAAATGAGAAGGAGGACTGAGGAGAACTAAGGAGGAGGAGGAGGAGGACTGAATAGGAGGAGGAGAAGGAGGGGGACTGGGAGAGGACTGGGGAGGAGGAGGACTGATGAGAAGGATGAGGAGGAGGACCCAGGAGGAGGAGGACTGAGGACCGAGGATGAAGAGGAGGAGGACCCAGGAGGAGGATGGCTGAGGAGGATGACTGAGAGGGAAGAGGAGGAGGAGGAGGAGGAGGACTGAGGAGGACTGAGAAGGAGGAGGAGGAGGACTGAATAGGAGGAGGAGGAGGGGGACTGGGGGAGGACTGAGGAGGAGGATGGAGGACTGAGGAGAAGGATGAGGAGGAGGACTGAGGAAGACTGAGGAGGAAGAGGAGGAGGATGAAGAGGAGGAGGAGGACCCAGGAGGAGGACTCAGGAGGAGGAGGAGGACTGGGGAGGAGGAGGACTGTTGAGGACTGATGAGGAGGACTGAGGACGAGGAGGAGGAGTAGAAGGAGGACTGAGGAGGGGAGGAGGAAGAGGACTGAGGAAGATCAGGAAGACCCAGGGGGAGGAGGAGGAAGAGTAGGAGGAGGAAGCATCTAAATGTTATTTCCATTTTTGTCCGTTTTTGTCCATTTTTGTCCGTTTTTGTCCGCTCTATTTTTTGTCCGTTTTGAAAATATAGGGTACCGAACGGACAAAAAACATGATCCCCCTATAACAGCAAAAATTGAACATTTTATTTAGCAATTTAGGTGTCCATTAATGTCCGCCTATGTCCGCCTATGTCCGCCTATGTCCGTCTATGTCCGCCTATGTCCGCCTATGTCCGTCTATGTCCGCCTATGTCCGCCTATGTCCGTCTATGTCCGCCTATGTCCGCCTATGTCCTGTCCTTTTTGGATTCTATGAGACAAGCGGACATAGACGGACGTGACACCCCCCCCCCCCCCCCCAGTATCTTTACCTATTCTAACAGTATCTTTACCTATTCTAACAGTATCTTAACCTATTCTAACAATATCTTAACCTAATCCAACAGTATCTTTACCTATTCCAACAGTATCTTTACCTATTCTAACAGTATCTTTACCTATTCTAACAGTATCTTTACCTATTCTAACAGTATCTTTACCTAATCTAACAGTATCTTTACCTATTCTAACAGTATCTTTACCTAATCTAACAGTATCTTTACCTATTCTAACAGTATCTTTACCTATTCTAACAGTATCTTTACCTATTCTAACAGTATCTTTACCTATTCTAACAGTATCTTTACCTATTCTAACAGTATCTTTACCTATTCTAACAGTATCTTTACCTATTCTAACAGTATCTTTACCTATTCTAACAGTATCTTTACCTATTCTAACAGTATCTTTATCGATAGAGACGAAACACCCGTTACATGTGGATCTGTTTGATTTAGCGTACTCTGCTGCAACATCCACTGAAACCTCCTTTCCTGGAATATAATGTAAATTAAGCGAGGCACAAGTTTGTCGCTTTAGATGGCTTGAACTGAATCTTTGGATTTTGAGTTCTTTCTTTTTTTTGGCTACAAAGCGATGTATAGATTTCTAGTTATTATTATTATCATTATTATAAATTGAAAAAAAATACAGAAAATAATTTAGATTGATTCAGCAAAAAATAAACAGTATAACAAAATGAAGTCACCTTTTCCAGTGCTAGCAACGCCACCACCTCCGATTTTCTCCTTTATTTTTGCTTGGTCCTCATAACGCAGTGTTCCAAAGCCTTTAATGTCGCCAGTCGACTTGACACTGTTCTTCCTGTAACACGAGAAAAACATTGAAGATACAAGAGCAAACAACAGAGTCTACTCTTAGTTTGATGTTTAGATACATTAACAGTGTGATGCAAAACGAATGTTATAATATTAGATGGCTACAATATAATTTCTGAGTGAAATGAAAATAAATCACTCCATTACTGCGTATTATTTAGGTGATCAAAATATATATCCCCTTCCTCTCAGCATACAGTATACATTGAATTGCAATATTTTGAGAATTCATTTTATACAAGTGCAGTACCTGAAAAAGCAATTGAAATGATTCCAGAGAGCCATTTTTCCATCAAAGTGAGGGGATTGCACCAGTCTTGCAACACGGATATGATCTTTAGGAATGTGACTTCCGCATGTTTTACAGGCGGACCTATTAGACTTTGCATACTCAGCTGAGTATGGTAAATCCTCAGACATACCTTGGTAGTGATTGAATTAAGAAATGATTACTAATCAAATCATAAGAAAACAATTCTGATTAATACAGCACAAAGAATCCAATTCTTGAAAATAAATCATTTGACCATATCAGTGATATGTTGCATGACAGAAAATTCCATCTTAAAGAAAACATGTACCTCTATAACAGTATAAAGAATCAATAAATATAACAAATCAATAAGTCTTGGTACGGGTATATGGCCCCCAGAATATAGGTGGCCCCCAAAATATAGGTCATGTTAGTGGATACAGTTCTAACCAAGATAAGCGATACTAATGGGATCTGTTACTGCTAGGTTGGAGTAAAACATGTAACTAATGTTTCTGGATAAAAATTTTGGACCTACATGAGGTATTTTGGTATATTTGGTCATGACAGCGAAAGATTTAAACGATGTTGTCATTTTCTAGAGGGGTAAATATGGCGAAAAATTGTCATGACAAAAATCTGTCCAACACATGCCATTAAGACTACTGGTATGAGTATAAGTATTATTTTAAGCTATCTTTTCATCGAGACATCTGCAAACTGACAATTTGGAAAAAAGTTATGGCCACCACAATTTTACGGGCCCCCAGAATATAGGTCTATACGACCCCCAGAATATAGGTTGGTCAAAAACCCTGAACATGCCCAAAACCATGCTTTGGGATGCTCTACTTGTAGCTACTAGTCTCCTGAACCCACATATCAAGTTTTATCAAAATTGGATAAAAATTGGCCGAGTTATGGGATAAAAACAAAAACCATATGCCCATATTTGGGCATACGCACCAAATTTGATCGATTTTGGTCCATAAATTGGTCAAATATCAATATTTTTGAATGAAACCAACTTTATATGGAAGGTAAGCATATATTACACATTCTCTATGATTATCAGCTCAATATCTACCTAACTGTGGATTCTGTGTTCAAATAATCGCAAAAAATGAACAAAATCGCCCATATCTCAAACTGACTTCGCTCAAAACAATAGAACTCAATAGGGTTTCAATATTTTCACATGAAATTTTCAGAATCAACGTAGAATTGTCTCATGACCTTAAGTTTTGGGACAGAATTTTGAGTTAGGCCTTTAAAAAAATTTGGCGGCCAAAAATGTCTGATTTACAGTCATTGAGGTGCACATTGTATTGATACAGATAAAAACAGCCCCCCTCAATCATATCTAGGGACACTCCTTCAATATTATTTAAGTATTTAGTTAAGATCCCTACTAAATGAGTGCATGAAAGCTTTTTAACTAGTAAAATTAAAGATTTTACTCATTACGGGTATATGGCCCCCAGAATATAGGTTTTAAAAAAAAAATAGCGACCAAGATTCTGCATTTTCTCTGTCACCCTGAGCATTAAGGAATGTGGGGTAGTGATGAGAAACAGTTAAAGAACATATGCTGAAGAGATGGCATCATCAAAATGTATGAAGGTGGAGTATTTGAGGACGATTTTTGCATACCTATATTCTGGGGGCCGTAGTTTTTGATTTTTTGCTATTAAGTATACTCTAAACCATTTCAATTTAGTATCTGGAGCCATTGGCATCATCAATACAGTCTCAGCAACATATTCTGACTGCATATAACTGTCTGTGACAATTTTAGAACAACTTAGGAACAGATGTTTGGACCTATATTCTGGGGGCCCTGTTAAAAAATGGTATTTTTACAGGTACAGGTGAAAAAAAAGTACACTTAAAAACCTAATAATTATTTTCAACTACCCAAGAAACATTTAAAGGGTTATTATGTACATATTTACAGCCCTAAACATGCTTAGAAGTAGTTTTAACACCTGTTTCTAAGTGCTCAAAAAACGACCTATATTCTGGGGGCCATATACCCGTAACAAATATTAGATATTCTCCAAAAGTAAATAGTGAGGAATAAATGCAGCATCTATTGAGTTAATTGATCCAAATACAAGCATCTATAATCTATATTCTTTAGTATATTTACATATTTCTTGAAACATTTAAAAAAAAATATGAGCAATAACTGACTTGAGTGACTGAAATCAGTTAATAAATCAGTAGTAGTCAATAAAATCACTTTTACACAAAAGCTGTATGAAAGATACATTTTAGATCTTCATGAGTTGCTATCATCACTCATTTGAGGAATACATCATTTAATCAAATAATAAAAATAACAAATATAAGATACAATAACAAATATAAGATAGAACATTTAATACTCAGCAGTGTATAATCTTAACATTATCTATTTGAGTGGCTAGAGATACTGAGGTGGGATCACGTGAACCTCTCTAATAACTTCTAGGCCACCCTGTATGTTGATTGTCAAAGATTTCGTTAACAACGAGGTAATGATCCTGAAAATATTATTAATATAGTTCCCTGCTTTGGAATGAACAGATAAAAGCATGTATTTCCAAGGCAAATCGTATGATTTGCTGGATTGTAAGGAATTTGATAATTAGAGAAAAATGTGTAATGATAGCCATCTATAAAGCTTTGATAAGACCTCATCTAGAGTATTGTGTCCAATTGTGGAATCCAGTTGCGGCTCATGGAAGTTGGGGGACTGTTTTGGAGCTGGAGAGCGTCCAGAGGCGGTTTACCCGTCTGATTGATGAGGTGGGTACTCTTCCTTACAGCCGTAGACTGGAAATCCTTAATTTGACAACGCTGGCAGAGCGGCGAATACGTGGGGACCTTATTGAAGCTTTTAAGGTTATTAATGGCTTGACTGATTATGGTTCAGACTTGTTCAGACCAAGCAGATCAGGTCTTAACGTCTTAATCTGGTTTCATCCAATAGATGTAGTAAGAGTGTGACAAAGGTCAAGAATCTTCAGTGTTCTTTTCTTCCAGAGCGGGTTGTTCCTTATTGGAACAAACTCCCTTCGGAGGTGAAGAACTGCTTGACAGTTTTGAGTTTTAAAATTGGATTGGAAAGTTTTAAAAAGAATATGATTTCTAAATGTATTGTAAATGACTTTCATTTTTGGAATGTTTCGAAAGAAGTTTTAACAAGAATTGAAGGTACCAGTTATATCAGTAATAAGGAAAAACACAATGATTATCTGTGGTTCCATCCTTATGTAGCAAAGAAACGTTTTATAAATCTTTACTCCACTGGGAAGTATGAATAAATTACATTTTGTAATGTTGTTTTTATTCATGATTAATATTTGATAAATTATTACCTTTAAATTTGATGGAGAAATAGTTATTTTTCCATGTAGTGTGATAATACTTTGTAGACATTAGTGATGATGTTATGTCATAATTTTTACTTTACTTTACTTTACTTTACCCTCTTAGTTGTGCAATAGCTGGGCACTGTCCAAAAAATCTGAGATGGTCTTATCCTCACAGTCACACACATAGGCACTGGTGCTAGATTTGCAGATGGTGTGAAATTGTTAGTTTAGCCAAATGTCCAGTGATAAGTTACAGTGTAGTTCTGTATTTCTGTCTGTTATTACTGAGCGTAGTGTTTTTTGAAATGATGGTGGCATGTTTTTTAACCTGGTGTCATCTTGGTGGTCTAGGTTCATTTCATGTCTGGAATGCAATATCTAGAATTGTATATGCATGATAAATAATCTTCACAGTTCTTTTCTTCCAGAGAGAGTTAGACCACATTTAGACTCAGCAGCCGTTGAAAAAAAACATGAATTAAAAGATAACTGGATTACATCTAAAACTAAGCAACTAAGTTTCTTGGAGTTGTTATTGACGAACAGCTTTCCTGGGGGCCTCATATAACAGCACTTAAACGAAAGTTAAACTATGCCTCTGCCACCTTAAATAGAATTAGGGACTCTGTACCAAAGGAACTCCATAAAGACCTCTACCACACATTATTTGAATCCCACCTTACATATTGTATCTCAGTTTGGGGTGATGCAGCACTCTTTAGGACAGCAAGTATCTGGCTGTCTCAGAAGCACTGTGTACGGGTCCTCTTTGGTGATAAAGAGGCATACCTACCTATTTAACAAGTTCCTTACATGTGCAAGAACAAGAGAGTTTGACAGCCAGGCACTTGACCATACATTCTTCCAACTAGAGCACTGTAAACCACTTTTCAAGCAACAAAACATCCTGACTTTCAAAAATTTATATACATATCACACATTTATGGAAGTTTTAAAAATACTAAAACTAAGGTGCCCAGCATCACTGCAACAGCATTATCAGTCATCTTCTAGAAAGGAAACCACTATCATTTCACAACTCCCATCTAATGACTTTATATCAAGATCCACCAAAATGTGGAACACAATTGCACCTAAACTTAAGCTCTTTGACTACTCCTACAAGATTAGCCTTGCTAAAAGTCGCCTGAAAAAGGCACTTCTAAAGCTGCAACATGCTTATAATGATTCGGCATGGACCACAAGCGATTATGACATAATGCAGCTGTCGTTTGAAAACAATCCCCTTCATCAAATTTAATCAAGTGATCTCGGCCCACAGGCTCCTCCTATTGAACAATTTTGATTTTGGTAAATGTGTGCTGACTCCACCACCTATGTATTTAACCTAATATTTAGTGTATTACAGGTAGAAATCGACTTAGGTAGGTATTTTTCTCTTAGGTAGATATTAAGAATTTGGTTAATTTCTTAATTGTATGACTATTTCCATTACTAAGACGTTTTTAATATTTAATTTAGGAGGGTTTTTGAAATTTTTATAGGACTGGTTCACAGAGTGAACAGATTCCAGATTTATATATTTTTAAACTGATATTTAATAAATGATTAAAAGAACAAATTTTAAAGTTGCCATTAGATCCAAAAATACACCCATTATGCTCACTTAAAAACAACTCTAAATCAGTAGGCTGTCACTCTATTAATGCACCACACCGCTACCTCCACTGCACTAATAGTTATACAATAAATTCTACAATCCTAATTTTGTATCGTGATGGAGACCGGTGTTCATACAAAACATTTACTAGGTTGCCGTTTGGTGTGAGCAATAGCGAACAG